GTCACAATTGAATGGATCCGACTCATGCAATGACTTGTGTGGGCCAGCCGCCGATGTACAAGTCAGGTGTTTTTACCCTCCAAGACTAGTATACTCTCCTTCTGCTTGTAATTCGTATTTGTGCCTCTGGATGGGAGGCTTTCAGTACCAACAATAAGCACGTTCTTATTTCATTGCAAATGCCACGCTAAATACGCCCACGGTAAAGTGAAGGTGGGGGAGGGAGGGCAAGGAATGTGGACAACGTTTTACTCAGCTTGGTTCGTTGAAGTAAAGCAGCGCTTGCGTGATACAAGGATCGAGTTGCGCAGAAAAAAGCCATGTATCTTTGCGCAATATTCATTATTTAATACGAAGAAAGCCCACGGCCCATTCCAATAAGGAAATTTAGCGTTGAGCACCCTTGATTAGGGGTTTCCTGCTGATAAAATTTTAATTTCCAGAGACATATGCTCGGAATCCGCAATACAATTCGCACTTCATTGTAACTGAAGATTCCGTGGAACAGGATGGCAAGTGCACAGTGATCGTTGCTGTACTGCAGAAATATCGCCGAGAAATGAGGAACTATCGGCAAAGACAGTTTGCCTATCGGATTTGCTGTCTACGAGGTAAGAGTTGATACTTTTTGGGAGAATACTCTCTTGTCATCACTTGTGAGTCTCGCCTACACTGGACGAGTTATTGTCAATTCCACTGGTCCTGAAGCGACCACATTTGACACGAAGTAAGTTCGAATACGACTTAGAGCGATATGTGCGAATTAGTAAAGCACTATACAAAGATGAGAGCATCTAACCATAAGCTGTGTGCAGCTCCGTATTCACAAGACAGCTAAATTGTGCTTCAGGTGGACTCTGATCCGAATGGTGCCCTCAGTGCGGACTACCTTCTCGGACGTAAACCAACGGCTCGTACCCGGGTATTCATCAATATGCGAGAAGTGAGTTCTACTCGTTGATAGTCCCCGATTTTCTTCGTTACTATGATAACGCTGAATCCGTCGGCTCGAGATTAAAGGAGGAATTCACGATAAGAACGAAGGTCAAAGAAGGGGAAAATTGCATAGTTGGGAGACAGGCGGACCTCCTGAGGGTGCTGACCGACGCGCAATTGGCAGCGAAAGATTTGACCTCGGCGATCTAGCATGGCTCACTCTTGGCGCGGTTGGCGGGGTACGCCCACCGACTATCTAATCACTCGCCGCAGGTCTATACGTGGCGAGTGATTAGATAGCAGAGAGTTAGTGTTGAAGAGGGCACAGCGATGAGAGTCGCATCGCGCAAATCAACGGGCAAAAGGGGTCCCATTTCTCGGGTTTCGGGCCGTTTCAAATGGTTTCTTCTTCATCCCTGCTCCACTGACCACCTCTACCCTTATTTCCAATGAGCTAACTTCCCGTAAATTCTGTCTTTAATGCATCTCATAGCCCGCTCTCACTAACTTGTTTTGTTCAATGCTATTTTCATGTGTAAACAAGAGTAAGACAAATAAAAATCTCTGAATTTCCTAATTTTTGGGGCGGAAGTGGTGTAGTGGCAAGTGGCACGCTTACCACGCGAGCGGTCCGGGGATCAAATCCTGGGTCGTGAGTCGCCCGGGCCAACCAAGCCTTCCATCCCTCCGGGGTCGGTTAATTGGTACCAGACTTGTCTGGGAGGATAAAAACACTGACTTGAACACATCGGCTGGCCCCCGCAAGTCATTGTATAGGCCACATCGCATTCAAACGCCACTACGAATGTACAAATGGAAGTAGAATGCGTGCCGCATCCCAAAAAGGGATTGATCAACGGCAAATGCTTTATCCTTTATCCTTTATCACTGGTAGGGTTGACAAATACCATAAAGTTGAATTTCTCTTCAGGTCACGTGCCGTTTCCGTGTACCGGCTGGACACTACGTTATTCTTCCGTGCACATTTGACCCGGGTTGCGACGGAGAGTTCCTTCTACGAATCTATGTAAACGGAAAACTTCAGACTTGGTGAGATTTCTTTATTTCTCCATTCATAATAAATTTCTCTTTTTATCTCTTTTTATCATTATACGCATGCTATTCTATACTTCTTTCTTTTATTACACACTATCATAAATTGACACACTTGCAACCCCTGCGGACCTTTTTGCTAGTCCGCTTAGGAACTGAATCCTCATTGGTAAGGTTTTCCCATGAAAACTTTATATTTTCAGCCGTTTGCAATAAGATCGATGCCTTGAAGGCGGTGGACGACTTCACTTACAGCTTTTGTTGTTATAATTGGTCTCTTGATGGTACACTTTTGTGATATTACATTTGCATAATAAATATGTCGGGGTGTTGTACACTTTGTACGGTCGTTGGTCCCGTCAGAACGGGGTCCTTTTTTCAGGACTTA